TTGTTGTATATAATGTTGCATGTCGAACGCTACGTTCTCTATATCGGTCGGTGGAGGACCCCATCGGCTGTAACATATGTGAGTATGTCTCTAGATTCTTCGTCAGGCTGTAGCTGGAGGTACGATCCAGCCATGTCATATACCGTCACAATGCCTGCGTTAGTACAATGCTCTGTGAGCTCCGCCTCCATTGGTACTTGGAATATGCGAACGGTTTCCTTATTGACATGGACGTAATTAATTGTTATACGATAATTGTTTTTCGACTGAGGCACCTTGCTCTTATCTTTCACAACTGTTTTTATCGAACTAACCCACGGACGGTATTTATCTCCAGGTTCCGCCTTCACACGCTGATGGAATTGTTCAACCTTGAGAAACTCGATCTCTTTTTTGAGAACCGGATCCCGGGTAAAGTAGATTGGTCGCGATGGTTGCGCACCCTCTTTTAGCTGCAGCTTGACCTTAACATACTTGATCATTTTCGTATCATTAGAATCAAAACGCACCCTATCGAAACCATCCTTTATCTGTTGCACCTGTTCGGATGACTTATTCAGCAACTTTGCTATGTGTTCTAACCCTGTGAAATCATATTCCTTCACTGCGCGTCCAGATCCGGAACCCTGAGCTCGTCCATTGGTGTTATGTAATCAGGAGCGCGTGGAACCAGGAACATAACCGGGCTCGAAAGAGGTAACTGAAGTGTGAATCGTACCGGGGTAACTGATGTATCCCAGGTAGTCCCTATCAGGTGCTGTTGTCACGTGTCAAAACCCATTAAAATCTGTCAGTCTCTCGGAATCCAACCCGACACTAGGGATACTATGTCGCTAGTTTTGAAACCGTCAAGTCATAAAGTAGAAGCAATACGTGACGTGAGGACTGTTTCTCCCGTACCCCCATATTCGTGTAAATACACTGGATTCTTCTTCTCTTGCTCAAAGTTTAAGCGATTGACTAACTCACTTAAAGTCATCGTAGGACGGCATCCTGCGTCGTTATATATGCTAATCGGTTCTTCCTCACACAATGCAGACGTCACTAGACCCATCTATTCTGCTAGTCACTGGGTAGGTGAATGCGGGATGGCCGCGTGTGCATCTGTGTACGGATGCGTTGTGCATTTGCTCCTGTAATGATCCGTCTTCTTGCAGGAGTGGCATACCAGACAATCTGGGCTTCAGTGATGAAGAGAACACTTAGAGCATTGCGGTGTTTGTTCCGTTGGTGGTGTACGACGGCCATTGCCGTATATGTCGTCGCGGGCATGGCGATCCTGTAGAAATACGGCATCCGGTCAGTCTAAAATATCAAGATCAAATGAGATAACACATTGGTTTTTATTTGTATTTAAAATAATTTAATACGAGTTCTTTTTCCAATATTTCCAAAGTGTTCTAAATTCACTTTGATGGCTCCAATAGCCTGAGTATTTGGTATGACTCATTTACTTGGACCTATTTGAGACGATAGTAGATGTAGGATATTATAAACTAAATTTTATAATCTCTGAACTACTACTTACAGGTTTTTGTCTTCCCGCCAATCTCCAAAATCCAATAAGTCTTTTTCTTTTTTTAACTTTTCTTCAGATGTAACTTTATTTATATTAGCTAATGTATTAACTTGACTTACGTTCTTATGTCTATTTACAAAGACATGTGGTCATGATCACCTACTACTTCTAGTGAAAACTATTCAATAAAGAACAGCTAGAGGTGCGTCCTGTGTGATTGAGGATATTAAGGCTCTTACCAACAGGCAGTCCCTATCATTCTTACACAAGCTACCACTGCTAAATCCTAACTGACTTAAATTGTATCTTAGTATATATAACATAGTTTAAGACAGAAATATCCATCGAAGTTTACCGATTAGTGTGACAAGTGTGTACAGGTGGGTGCTTGTCTGCCTTTCCAATAACCGTTAGGGGTCAATTTGTACGTGTCATACCCACACTGTACGTAGGCACATTTCTTAATCTCCTTAAATGGAGGCTACTTGTTCTTCGTCTCCGCGCGTGCCCGTTTATTGGGTCGCGTTGATTGAGTGGAGTCGCGAGCACGTGTCTGGTTAGGACGCGTCTGATGAGGTTTATCGTCTGGCGTCCTTAGCCTTCAACAGACTGGCACATCTGGTTGGCTGAACGGAGGATAAACTAAGCAACGCTAATAGTCCTTAAAAACCTATGTTCGGTTGAGCTATCTCGCTACCGAAGTATTCAGATATAAATAGATTTGGAAAGTAAATATAGTTCTATTAATAGAACTAGACCAAATCTTATGCTTGGTATTTTAATGGGGCCTTTTAATGGCCTTGTCCAAATATCTGATATGTAAAATGGACAAGGTATTAATTAATAATACCGTTAAAACCCATTTAAGAATCTTAAGTTCCTCGTACTATTAAGAGTACGTTTATAGTTTACGTACTGCTTAAGAGTACGTTTATAACATAGAGTCTGATGTGGAGGCCCGGCTATTACACCTGCGCATTAAACTTTTCTTGTTTGGCCGCATCCTGACGTATTCCCATCTCGATGAATGACCAGGAGTAACGTGGTGGTGTAAAAGTTGGTCTCCTCTAGGCTGACTATACGATACTAAGACGTTTACGTTAATAAGACAATAATAATTACCTAATCAAACTAACCAATAAAATACCTCTAAATTCAATTTAAGACAATAAAAAGAAAATCAAAACACCAAGCTGGTGCAGTATACATCTGCACCTAAACCACATCACTTGGTACCTAGCTCCCCATCCCATTTAAGGCATAGACGGTCAAATCTAGTTGGCTGGCTAGGAGGAATCAAAACCATGTTGTCCTAAATTCTAACAACTCTGATCCTGTCCTTTTCTCAGTGGATTATCTTGCTCTGAGATCATTATCGAATTATACCATAGGTTTCTACCAACAACAATTTCATGCCTGAGGCCCTCTCTCATGGTACTCTCATTAATTAGAGATTCCCAAAGTGTCATATTCAGGTGTCAGATTGGTGTCGTTCCTATATTATGCACAATTATAATTTCAGTGGAAAACCCAATCTATATTTGGAAAGCCACCTAATTGTCCACAGTAGAGTCCCATACTCTAATGAGTACTTTCACATGTTCAGAATCTTGAATCTCTCAGTTCTTGTTCATGTCCGATTCGTTAAACGTATTCCAGTATTATAAGTAAATACGATTATACGTTATACGTGTATAATATACGTTAATTGTGCAACTACTATTAGGAACCCGCTATTTTTACAGTGGCGCCGGGCAAACCGCAACCGGACGCTCAGGAGAGCGGCTTCTAGGTGGACAAGCCATGAGATCATCCAAAATCAAGCTGCCACCGTGATACTGAAAACGAGGAAGCAGGACACCGTTAATAAAATACGTCTGGTCCGTCGGAAATAACAAGTTGGGAAAGCGGATATAAATGTACTTAGCGCGGAGTGCTGCCGTCGGACACAAACGAGCTGCTGCGCTGAAGACTAAACCGTCGTCCTTAAGATTCTGCGAACTATCAACGACGTGTCGGTAATCCCTGATAGTCCGTTGTATGATTCGGTCTATTAAGGCGATCCTAATGCTTTAGAAAAAAAATAAACGCGTAGGTAAATTCTAAGTATCGTGTAAATATCAAAGAAAATAAACGAAATGAGACTTTTAATAAAGTTAGGTATGCCTCGTGAAAACAGCATTACTCTCAGGGATTGTGAGGCTGAGACATTGCCTATATATAATCCTCTCAGTACTGTTTCCGCCGAAGGGATTTTATTTAGTGCTTCGTTGTCGCTCTATTAGAAACTATGGTACGTTTCGTTGGGGCGAATCCGAGAGACTCATAAAATCCTATCTTTAGAAAAAAATAGAAAAAGAAAAAGAAAAATACTCTAGATGTCCTTAATTATTGTCTTAACTAATAACTTGCCACTATCAAGAATTACCGACTTAGCTTTCACCAGACTGGCACATCTATTTGGCTGATTGGAGGATCAACTAGGTAACGTTAATAGTCCCTAGAAACCTATATTCGGTTGAGCCATCTCGCTACCGAAGTATTCAGATATAAATAAAGTTGGAAAGTAAATATAGTTGTATTAATAGAACTAGGCCAACTCTTTATGTTT